ACCGAATATTCCGAGTTGGACAGTTCGGGGTTACTCAACCCTGAGTATCGTTTTTCACTCTGAGTTTTCTAAACCGGCTTCCTGAAACAGGGCCCAGAAGTTTAAACCAACCAATCACAGCAGCTCAAACTATCTGGCCAATCAAGGCGGCCGCACACATACGGGTTCCAGTTCCCTGACCCGAACCTGATGTGGCGGCAGTGGGCAGGGCCAAATGAAGTTTCTGAAGTTCAATGGCGTTAGCCAGCTAGATGAGCCCGCTCTGACTGAGGGATTGATGGCGTCCAAACGGTCAGCTGGTCTGTCTGTTTGGACACGAGTGAGCCGTGAGGTTTGCGTGGTTACTGAAGCTGGACCAGCTGCTACGTGCTGGTTAGCTGCAGAGCTATAGGTAACGCCCCCATCTAAACAAAACGACGACACAAAGGCCGAGCTGCAGCTTTATTTACATAAAGTCGTTCACAATGAATCCTTCAGTCATTTGTGTTTTAAACAGCTGTTTGTAACGTTTGTCACCGCGCTGCTTCACTCGTCTGCAGCACGTCTTCAAACGAGCAACAAGTTAAACAAACGTGAATTTGAAATCCAGAAACTTGTGAACAGAGATGGAAAATATATCATTTAGTTTAATACTGTTCAGTCTTATTGGCTGAGGCGGGGCGTGGTCTGCGGCGCGGCTGAGGCGGACACACCTGAGCAGCATCCCCACTCACGCTTCGCCGGCTTAAAACAGAATAAACTGGGTTCTGTGGTTGATGAGTTTAGGCTGTAGCTTAAACGCTGCAGCCGCGTGCAAATCGACAGCTGCAATAAAGAAGCGTACTGAAGACGTGGCAGGTCTGTCGTGCGTCGTTTACAGTGGTGCCCAAACGCACGACTGGGGCACAACGGACCCGCCCACATGTTTTCTTCTTTATTGCAGCACTTGACTCACACGCGGTTGTTTCAGTGTGAGCAGGTTCTTTATCAGGACTTCGGTTTGGGGAAGCCATGGGGGACTGTCATCAGGTAAAGTGGACAGAATCACAGCACACCGTGATACTGTGTGTGGTGACGTATCCACACTGAGTCACGGGCAAATGCAAACAGCCTGATGGCAGGCAGCCGCTCTGTGCACAGTCTCAGAGACTTATCGAATGTTTGCAGATCATTTCTGATTATAAACCATCGCAGCGCAAACTTGTCCGCGTTATTTCCCACAGAGCAGGAAGCCAACTAAGACAAGACACAGCTTCATTAGTCCCACACGTGAGAAACCTTTTGGTCAAGAGCAGCAAAAACTGGACTCCATATAATCAGACCCACGGCAGACCGATATCAGACTGACAGGCTAATCTCAGACAGACTGACAGCAGACCGGCGGCGGGCTTCCGTGACGGCGTTGGTATGTTTGATCGATCATTCTGGAGCCAAACACTGCTGTGACAGAACTTTGTGTGTCCGGATAAAACAGGCACTGATACTTCAGCTCTGATCTCCTTCAGTCAGCAGTTGAAAGGTGCTAAATGTGGCTAATTGACATCACTGCAACAGTCAGCGGACAATAGCATTAACGTCGTCAGCTGTTGGAGCCTATATCTTTTCTCTCTGTAATTGTTTCTTTAACATCACTGCTTGATGGCAAAACCGACTCACCTGCAGGATGACATATCCCAGCAACCTCAGGTGGCGGTCTCTCATGGCACGGGAGCCCACCAGGACGTCGGAGTTGTGGCAGTAGTGCCACTTATCATTGACAGACATGATGACCCTGCAGAGAGCACAGCAGGGTGGCGTTAGTGGCGGCAGGCGCTACTAATTCTGCACAGGCTCTGAGTTTGACTTACCTCCGGATCTGCCTCTGGTCTGCGGGGAGGCCGTCGGGGTCTGGCTGCTCAGGGGGGTGGAGCGGCGGTGGCGACAGGGGCGGTCTGTCAGCCCCCTCGGCGTACGTCACTCCTTTGTAGAATCCCCCAAGCTCGTGGTCCGGCCTCGGGGCTCCCGTGCCACCCTCGTCTTCCAGGATCTTCCCAATGGAAAACTGGAACAGAGAGTCCGGGGCACTGGCCCCCGCGGGCGGCTGGGTGGTGGGCGGAGCCAGGCCGTCCGAGGGCGGGCTGCTGAGGGTGGAGCTATCCTGACTCTCCAGCGAGTGCTCTTTGGCCAGGCTTGAGTAGTACTCCCCCGCCGGGACGTAGTACGGCCCGTAGTTCACCGTGCTGCCATTGGTCCCCGCCTGTGGGTGGCCCGGGTGGGGCGCGGTGCCCGGCGTGCCGCGGATGTGATGGGGCAGGAAGGCCCGCGGCTCCATTGCCCCGACCATCCCCTCACCAACCTGACACGAGTGCTCGGCGCCCTCCTCCATCGCCACGAACGGAGAGAACTTCTGGAAGTCAGAGGTAACTGCGGCAACCGCTGCATCAGCAGGCTTAGACGCCACAACAACACAGGACGGAGGAACGACAGTCAGAGAGAGGCCGGCTCCAGTGCGGATGGGAAGAACCCGCCCGGAAGTGTCCATCCACAACAGGAAGTCTGGAGAGAAGAGTAATCACATTACAGGTAGCAACACAACAGTAACATGCAGGGGCAGCTGACGGCTCCGCCCCTCTGTGACCCAGCTCACATGCGTCTGACCTTTGAACTACGTACGCATGTGAAGGCTGCTTGTCCAAAATGTAACTTTCTGTTTAAGCAACAGGAAGTAGACCACAGCTGAAGGTCAGCGGCGTCTAATGAAACATTTTAACTTTTGCCAACAGCATCAGAAATACGGGAGGAGCATCTCAGTTACTTTGAAAGGAAGTAGCTCTGTAATTGGCTGTTCAAGCAGAACACATGTGGGTGGAGCATGAGTGAAGCCATGCCGAACCAAACCAACCAGCCAAACGCTGCACGATGATCGCCATGTTTTTCAGCTGAGCAAGCCCCCCCCCCCCATATGTTTTAAAATCGTTGGAGCTCCAAATATCCAGGTGAGAGGTTGTGTGCGCAGGTGTGTCCCACCTGTGTAGTATCCCGGGGGGAGGACCTCATCCTGTTTGTAGTTATGTTCTCCAACCAGCTGCCGCAGAGCCTCAGCCACCAGACCTTTATAACTGACAGAGAACAGACCAATCAGAGCTCAGCTGCTGTCTGGTATTCTGGTTGCTTTGGTGTTGAGCACACCTGTCGGTGCTTTCGAATCCTGATGAGTTTGAGCTGAACTGACCTCGGCCTGGTGAGGTGGACGCTAACAGACTCTGTTTACACCAACCAAGAGGGTCAGTGTGCAGGTGTGCAGTGTTACCTGTACTTGCGGTTGACCTCGTCAGCCGTGAGGGCGTGGTCAAACATCAGAACCTTGTGTGCGTCCTGCAGTCGTGGCCCTGTGTAGTCGCGGTACTCCAGCTCAACAGCGGCGTCCAACAGAGACAAGTATCGCCTGACGATGAGAGCATAGGGGCTGTCTGCGGGGAAAGCAGCACACTGGTCACACTGGCTAACCTGGTACTGGTAATCAGTCAATGGCTAGAACAGGATCAATATTATGAGTCGCAAACCAGTCACAGTGGACGGTGTGACCAGTCGATGGGGAATCGACCAGTAGTCCAGGTCCTTGGACTCATTAGTCCGCCTGCCTATTGGTTCTTGCACTCTCACTACAATCAGCTGATTTTAGATAGATAGAATTCTTTATTTCGAACATGCAAATATAATTGAAATAACAACAGAAAAAACAAAACTTAAAAATCATCAAGTTTTCATGTATACAGCATGCTAACACTAAGCTAGTCGGACAGCATGCTAACACTAAGCTAGTCGGACAGCATGCTAACGCTAAGCTAGTCGGACAGCATGCTAACGCTAAGCTAGTCGGACAGCATGCTAACGCTAAGCTAGTCGGACAGCATGCTAACGCTAAGCTAGTCGGACAGCATGCTAACTCAGAGTGACGTTAAAGCTGAGTGTATGCAGACTCCATCCCAGCAGCCAGAGCCTGAACTTCAGCAGTCAGGCTGCAGCCTTTACCTGTTCATGTTTCTACAGTAGAATCACCATGACGACCGTTTTACAGCCTCTTTTTGTGCGGGTGTACTCAGCAGGATAGAGTTTGTGTTGTTTGTGTAGCCTCAGGTTTACGTTGTTAAATAAGGATGATGATGGTGTGTTTCAGATCATTTTACAGAGAAACATCAAAGTAACGTAACGAGTAGGATAACGAACGCCGTTATCCTGGAACTAACTAAGTAACATGCTGCATTACTTTTAGGAAAAGTGTTATCTGAGTAATAACTTTTTAAATATTCCCATCCCGACCGGTCAGTTGGAAAGTTGGGTTCATGTTGGCCGTACTCACTGGTGACGTTGCTGATAAAGGCGGAGGAGAAGACCCGGTGGAGGACCAGGCCGGGGAAATGTCCGAGCTGGAACAGAGACATGAGGATGTTGACCGTGGCGAGCGGCGAGCTGAGCGCCTTCAGCTCCACCACCTCTTCCAGCCGGGAGAAGAACTGCTGCTCATTGGAAGGACGGTAGCTCATCCGGCTGAACGGGAACACGAGCTTCTGGATCACCTGAGGACACACACAAACACACCTGCAGTCCTGTGCGCAGCTCTCAAGGTCACGTGACCGCCAGACCGGCCTCACCTTACTGTCCAGATATTCCGCCTTCTTCACCAGAAATTCGGCGATGGTGTCGAGCAGGCGGGTTTCTCTCAGCCGATGGCGGGCGATGTATTTGGCGATCAGCGCCATCGTGTAGGGCGTGATGCTGTCCACCTTCTTTGGTAACTCCTCTGTTGGAGAGAAACATGTTACTAGTTAAGGTGAGTCAGCAGAGGCGGAGTGACCTGAACAGCTGAGACAGCAATGGCCACGTGTTCGATGGTGAGGGATGAGGGTGAAGCGACCCACCTGCCAGGCTGCTGATGAACCTCTCCTGTCTGTTCTGGTAGAACAGGTGAGAGCTGAAGATCAGCTCCAGACTCTTGTTACTCGCCTCACGGGCGCACGCTGCCAGCATCTCGTCCAGCAGCGCCATCTCCTGGTCTCGAACGCCGCTCACACTCGCCAGTGTGTGTTTGACCAGACGCAGGATCTTCCTGAGGACAGACGCACACGTGCAGTTAACCGCTGCCACGGCGCCAACATCGCAAAGCACGGGTACCAGAAACAACAACCCAGGTAACGCGCGTTCTCACCTGTTGGCGACCAGCTGTTCAGGGTTAGGCGTGCTGTTGTTAGCGCCGGCGGCTTCCTGCGGTTGCATTGACCGCCATTTGAGCCTGTAGTAGGAGAGCAGCAGGAAGAGCGTCTGCGGGTGGCGCTCTCGCTCCAGGTTTTTCTCTAGGCCGGCCAGGCAGGCCTCCGTGAGCGGGTGCTGGCTGCCCGGGTGGAGCTTCATGCTGGAGCTGAACACCATCGACACGTCCTTCTGGTTGAACTGGTTCAGCCGGGCCTGAGACTCCGCCTCCAGAACCTGCACCACCTCAGAGTCGCTGGGCAGACCTGTGAGGGGTCAGATAAAGGTGAGTGGCGTCGCTGCGGGTGATAGCGGGCGTGTGTCTGAGCGTCACGCAGCGACTCACCGAGCGCAGCGACGGCGTACAAGCAGTTCACGATGCTGAAGTTGTCGAACTTGGCGCAGTCGCTGACGATGGCGTTGCAGAGCGTCCGGAAGTCCTGATGCTCCAGGATCTGTCGGGCATCGCCCTCCACTCTGGGGGCCTCGCCGTCGGTCTCACTGCTGCTGGCGCGAGCGGGGGGCGTAGCCTGCAGCAGCTGTCCGATCTTCTGCAGGGCGACGGGGTAGTGGTTGTGGGAGATCTTGGCGGGGTTCTGGGTGACCCAGCGCAGCACCTCGTCGGGCCGCCGCGAGCGCTCGATCAGCCGCTTCATGGTGAAGAACGTGTCGTAGCTCATCTTCTCGTGGATGAAGTTCCACGTCTTCTTCTTGCTAGTGGCAGCGCCTCCTGCGGGCCCGCCACCCCCGTATGCGTGGAAGGCGCTGTGGTGCTGGAAATGGGGGGGCAGCGGGGGCGGAGCCAGGTGATGGGGCTGCGGGTGGTAGTGGAATTGTGCTCCTCGGTGGGCGTCGGGGCGACCCTGGTACAATGGGAAGGCGGGGGGAGGTGGGGCTGCATGGGGGTGAGGCACCTCGAGCACAGATAGTCCTGGCCTCCGCCCCTGTTTTACCCCGCCCCCTCCACCACCCCCTCCTCCTCCCCCCGCGGTGCCGTACAGGCGGGCGGCATACATGGCGACAGACTGAGCAGCAGGGCGGGGGAGGCAGGGAGGGAGGTGGCGAGCTCGGCTCAGGAGGCGCCACCCAGTGGACGAACGCAGCATAGTCCAACAGCCAGACCGCCTGCAGACATTGACGCAGCGCACCTGCAGAGACACACAGGTACAAATAAGCAGCAGGTTGCGCCTGATGGGCGGAGCAAATTCTGACAGATCCTAAAAATGCACATTCTGTCCTAACAAGGCCCCTCCCCGCATCAGGCAGGTCCAACCCTAAAGTTGCAACATAGGTAAAGCTGTATGAACAAAGAGAGTCTCTTCCTGTCTGACAACTGATCTATGCCCCGCCCCACTGCACCATGTATACCCCTAATCCTGGTTACATCAACATCTGACAAGCACATCTCATCAGATGCGAGAAGCAGGATTTCAGGCTGAGCAAAGCGAGGCATTCACTGCCTGCCTGCAGAGAGTTCTGCAGTCAGATGGGGGCAGTGTTCGAAGTCTCAGCTACAGCCGCTCTGCTCGTGCTGTTGTTAGTCCGTGAGTTCTAACACCCAAAGAGCTGAAGTGAACCCGAGTGTTAAAAACAATAACTTTTATTTTTGATCTCCCGCTCCACGCCATCGTTCCCTGCTCTCTTCCAGCTCACTTGTCACCCGAACATTCGGCAGTCGTACATGCTATCCATTTCCATCGTGTTAAAGCCAATAAACCACCCAGCTCTTGTCAGGAGACCCAGGGTTACCGGTGTGTGTGTGAGCATGAGGGGGCACACCTGTCACGTGTGTGTGAACGTGCACAAACCGCCGGTTTAAAACCACGTTTGGCGTCTTTCAGATCTAAGCTGAGGAAATGGTGAGCTTGTAGTTGCTGACTGTCACCACCAGGTGGCATCTTTTCACTCCCTCTCTCTCACACACACACAGGAACACAGAACCATTTAGTATATTGTGTATTTGTTGGCATGCAGACCTGATGTGAAAATCGTGTTACTGTCCAGGTAACGTCTGAGTGAACACGCTAACTGATTACCGCTAGGTGCTCTCATCACACCCACACCTGCACCACCACACCAAAAAGGAACTGAGCATGAGAGACCCTGAACCTGCCCAGCAGGGGGCACCTAGTGAACCCTCCCCCGATCACCTGACAGTCAATGAGCTGCTCGCAGACCACGCCCCCTAGCTGTCCTCCTGTCACCTGAAGTCAGGCCCACTTGCTAACATTAGCATTTAACATCCAGCATTGTCCTTTATCCCCAAATCTGCTAAAGTGCCCGTGGGGTCACAACAACGTCACTCGCTACGTCATAAAAATATGATGTCATGCTTTAAATAGCCTTCAGGGATGGAAAGTAGGCTCCTCGGGCTGTGCGCCAGCAGGCTGCCGGACAGCTTGCAAAGCTAGCCGGCTGACCCCGCTGAAAGCCGGAGCTAGCGGCGGATAGCATCAGTTCATCAAACCTGCAGCTGCTGCTTACTAATCCGGGGAGAGCAGGCTAGGTATAAACTAAGTTAAGCTAAGCTAAGATACTGTGGCTTCCGTCTGCAGGGCTGTTAGCATGCTACCTTCTACTAGCCGCTGTTAGCCCGCCGGGAAGCGGGGGACTCGCCGGGTTGTACGCAGGTCACGGCGCGCGCTCCCCAACCGATGAGCGCGTGACAGAGCGGGAGAGTTTACCTCATGGCTCAGAAAGGCCGCAGCTACGCTCCTGAAGGTCCTGAGGCCACAGAGAGTGCGGGATCAGCGGGGAGACAGTCCGCGGTCAGCCGCTCCGATCCTCCTCACAGACGGGGACGCCATCCTGCTCTACCCGGCATGCACCTGGAGGAGAGACCGACAGCGCCCCCAGGCGGCTGTAGCCGGGAGCGGCTCTGTGTGATTTTATTGTTTTTAAATATATTCATGTTGTAACCGCATCAGCTGAAGACGTTTATTGCATGTTAATAATCTATTTCTTTAGGGCGTAGTCCGTGTGCCCAGTAATACCTTTAAAAGTGATCCCCCTTGTGTAGCCAGATCACTTAGAGGTCAGAGGTCAGCGCTCCTGCTGGCCTGGATTTATGTGTTTGAGTTTCAGTTCGGTGTCTTTTGATCTGCAGCCCTGAGCAGAAATGTGAGCATGAAGGGAGCAGCAGTTTATGATTAATGTTCAGTCACACTGGAAAGTTTGAAATAAAAGAGTTTCTGATTAGGAATCTGACACTAACTCATCAGCATGTTTAACAGGGTTTGGCCCGTGTGTGAGTGTCTGGGTGTGTTCAGAATCAGAATACTTTATTGATCCCTAGGGGAAATTATTTTTCGTTACAATGCTCCATTATAAACAAACATTAACAGAGACAGACAATACACTAACTAATGGGGGTGAGGCACCTCCCACTAACTGGGAGCTGTTTCATGATCTTTTTGTTTGTTTTTAAGCCATAAAAATATATTTACGCACAGAAAAATGCAGAAAATATTGAACCCTGCATAGTTGTTGTGGAGATCCTTCTCTATGCTTCTTCTAAAAGGTTGTTTGCGGCTCCTTAGCGGCCGGCAGGGGGCGCCAGAGGGCGGAATCAGCAACAAGGTAGTAGACGAAGAAGAGCTGCAGGTAAACATGTCGGCGCGCTGCTGTCACGGAGCAACTGGGGTGAACTTGAAACGCGTTTAGCTCGGCTCGCATCAGCGTGAGAGAGCCGGAGGATGGCTCACCGCTACCTGCGGCTGTCGGCGGGCTGCCGCGGCCTTTTCCGCCTGCTGCCGCCCTCCGGAGCTCCGGCCAGGCTGGTAGGTGCACGACGGGGCTAACATGCTAAGAGGCTAATCTTGCAGTCCGGAGCCCAGAGCCAGCGGGAGGCCGAACTCTGGGCTGAGGCTTCGCGAAGGCCGCGGGACCCGCAGGGGCAGCTGGCTGCAAGCTTACGATAAACAAACAGGAAGTGCACTGATACCAGATACAGACAGGTGTACAATGTACACCTGCGTTAAAGTGGCGGTTCACTTCTTATCTCTTCATCTCCATGGTAACTGATGCTGGAGAAGTTAGAGGATATGACATCAGTACCCCCTGACCAATGGGGAATAGTCCTGGATCCCTCGGATCTTTGTAAGCGGACAGTAGTCGAGGCAGAACACCTGCACAGGTACAACCGCCTGAGACGTGGACTGAGAAAACGCCTACGGCAACTCAGACTCACACAACTAACCAATCAGGTGACTGTGTGAATATTCGCATAACAATGTAAGTGGTGACTACGAACACTCTGAGCTGAGGAGTATCAGCTGCCTCCAAAGAGCTTTGGGCTCCATCACAGTCACCATGGTTACTACACCTGTAGTGTCTGAGGAGACCTGATTACGATGGCGTTCATTAGGTGTTGGCTTTAACTTCCTGTGTTGTGTAGAGGCAGCCAATGGCACTCCGATTTGTCGCTACAGAAGCTGCTGTTTATGGAGTCATACCTGGGAACAGCAGCCTGAAGCAGGATGAGTGTTTTTAATGTGTTTCAAAGTAATGTTCTCTGAACAGTCATTACAATCAGCTGACAGGAAGTCTTCTCTTCCTCCATGCAAAGCTCTGTGTAGTCAAAGATGCTGCTCGCTGTGAGGTCATCACACAGCAAAGAAGCAGCGGGAAATGTTTGTCAGGTTAGCCAACAGAATGTATTAACATCCTGGAGTCCACCAAAGAAACAAAGGTGAACTCAGGTGTGTCAGTTTGAGGCTGTTTTACCTGAAACTGGTGAAACGTGACGCAGGTTAGACCGCCACGCTGCCACATACAGAAGAGAAGGGGTTGCAAACTTCCTGTTAAACTTCAGGCAGACTGATCGAACCATGATGTCAGTGCCTTCAGCACTATGTACTCTGATCTGCTGACCTGTCTGTTCACTCAGGTAACATCTTCAACCACAGCACAGGTGCAGAGTGGGCGGAGCCTGTTGAGTGACCTGCTGGGAGCCTACAGGAGGCTGAGCTCTAAACCTCCAAAAGGTACCGGCTAATCAAATTTAGACCTGCCCTCGTGTGGCCTTCCTGTTCTACGGGGGTGTTGTGATCACTGAGCTGTTTCTATAGCGCCCCCTGCTGAGTTTAATAGGAAGTGGAATGGCTCTGGTAGATCAGCTGTGATGCCCTCATCTGTGTGTGATGTCACTTCCTGTACAATCTGCTTTCTTTCTTCAGGTTTCGAGAAATATTTTCCAGACAGTCAGAAAACGCAGAAACACTCCGAAGCTGAAGCTGCAGCCAAAGGTAGAAACCTGAAATCTACTGACCTTTAATGCTTTCTACTGACCTCTACTGCTCTCTACTGACCCCTGAATTCTACTGAAATCTACTGACCTCTACTGCTCTCTACTGACCTCTACGGCTCTTTACTGACCTCTACTGCTCTCTACTGACCTCTACTGCTCTTTACTGACCTCTACTGCTCTCTACTGACCTCTACTGCTCTTTACTGACCTCTGCTGCTCTCTACTGACCTCTGCTGCTCTTTACTGACCTCTCCTGCTCTTTACTGACCTCTGCTGCTCTTTACTGACCTCTGCTGCTCTTTACTGACCTCTGCTGCTCTCTACTGACCTCT